CACAGAGCCCCGCTCCTCAGCAAGACGATCTTTTGTCTCAGATCCGGGAAGACCTAGATCCTCGCGAGCTAGTGCACCCAATGGTCACTGTAAACTACGAGATTTATAAGAAAATTCGTTTGTTCTTAAACGAGAGGGATGTGCCTACCCCAGCGACAGTCGAGTCCGGTAACCTCATCGTTAATCGTATCGTATGCGCGGTATGAAATCGAGATGCAGATCAGGGCGACAGAGTGAAGGCCATTGACCAATTCAAAGCCATAAAACGCGGAGAGTTTGTGCCCTCTTCACCATCTACCCCTGGCGGCAATCCATTTGTATCCCCATACATCCATCTCCCCGCGACGGTCCCTCACACCTCTTCTTCGGGGCCTACACAAGGTCCACCTTCATACTCCCGTGGTTCAGAAATTAATTATGCCGCCAAAGGGATGAGTTCCGCGTATCATTCAGACAAGCAAAAATTCTGGGGTAAAAGCGATGAAGATTGGCCTACCAGACTGTGTCGCTATCAGTTCATGTGCGGCCAGAACAAGGTCACAGGCTCTGATCGTATCGACTACATGCACTACCTGCTTGATGGCGCAGCACTTCACTTCTTCATTAATGAGATCAAGGGCCGCGTCAACAACTACGGTGATGTCATCAGGCGTTTCAACGAACGCTATGCTTCTGCTGCAAAGCAGGACTACGTATCCCAGCGCCTGAACAAGATTCATATCACACAATTCGAGACAGAGGATAACACCAACGCGGCCGCCGCATTGCGCTGCACCATTGATGAAATCGACAGGCTTACACCAATGTCGCACCCCGACGATCGCACCGATCGTGCCAAGACATTGCATTTGCAACAAGCCGTTGTTGGGAGAGATTGGGCTCGGACCGTCCTTTCCAATGTTAGTGCTAATCAGCTCAACTACCATACACTCATCGAACGCTTGGAATACTCCCTTCAGCAGTCCGAAAAACATCGAGAGGCCTCCATCAACGAATCTACTCTCGGTAACTCACTTCGCACATCCCGCTGGAAGAGTACAAATTTTGCTGGACAAGGTCGCTTCGCCAATGTACCTCGCAGTCGCAACTCAATTGTACCCAGCTATTTGAGCAATTCACATGGCGACCGCGGCGCCTCCCGCAGAACCTCCCCAAACGAGACATGGCCGCGCCGTAACTTTAGCAGGTCCAACTATACTTGTCACAACTGTGGTAAGGTCGGGTGTCGTTGGTATCGCTGTAAGGAGCCGATGGATATGCAACGCGTCATTCGAAACCGGATGGCGATGACCCGGAATCCTTCATCTAGAAGATCGCCATCCGGTGTAAACGTCACTGAAGCAGTCGATGAGTTGGCAAACGAAATGATGGAAACCATGATGGTATCCGATTCTACGGTAGCTGATGCGTCCGACAACGTCATACTCGAAGCAAGCACTGCTGATAGTGACGAAGAACTACTGAAGGAGGCATCGTTCACCACGGGCGTACACTTTGATGTACCGGAAGATGATGAGACTGATCTGCACCAGCCGAGTTTTTGAGGCGGGGTATGTCTTGCCGCAATACCCCGCTCAACAGGCTCAAAGAACCGCCCGATAAACCCGAGAGCACATCTCTCGCACGTGAACCCCGTCTTTCTCATGCTCTTCGTGCTGGCCCGAAACACGCAAACACTCCCTGATCTTCTCCTCATTTCCACAGTCATATTTTGAAAGAGGTGCTGGATGTCAAAGCGCGTAAACCTCGGTTGGCAGCTGCGAAACAATATAGTAGTACCACTTTTGAAGGTGCCTGCATTGACACGGGTGCTCAGAAGACTGTATGTGGCTTAGCTCAAGCTAAAGCATATTGCCTCGCTACTCGTCAACCTTTCCGTCTTTTGGAATCTCCATTCGTGTATAAGTTCGGTGACGGGATTCGGACTAGTCTAGGAAAGATTCAGATTGAGATGCAGATTCACAAGGACTTGTCATTCCCATTTTGGGTAGACGATGTCGATTCAGATGTTCCCTTACTCCTTGGACTCGATATACTTGACAAGCACACACTGGTAGCTGACAACGTAGAAAATCGCCTCGTTCACAAGAAGCAAGGATGGTACCTCCCGATCACTAGGGCACATGGTCATCTATTTGTGCGGTGGCATGTACACAGTGTCCTCTTTTCTCGACCAGAACTTGAACGATTGCACCTACATTTCTTCCATCCTTCTACTCAAAAGCTTCTTAATCTGTTGAAACGGGGTATGCCGGAGCGCATAAATACCAAGACACCGAAGCTAGCTCAGGACATTGCCTAAAAGTGTCAGGGTTGTAAAAGGTTTGGCATGCGCCCGTATCGCTTCCGTGTTTCTCTTCCCAGTGATGAGATAATTTTCAATCATGAAGTAGCTATCGACCTGTTATGGGTAGAAGGTAATCCCGTTCTACATATAGTTGACACGCAAACTGGGTTTCAAAGTGTCGCTCTGCCAAAGAGTCTCAGTGCTCAAAACATCTGGAACGCCTTTATTGAAGCTTGGGTTACGGTTTACGTCGGTTACCCGAATCGCATACGTGCAGATCAAGGCTCGGTCTTTACGTCTAAATTCTGGCATGACGTGACCGCACTGTATGGTATTGAGCTGCAACTTTCGGGTGTCCAAAGTCACAACTCTTTAGGCATAGGTGAACGGTACCATGCTCCATTGCGTCGCACATTCCGCAAAATACGAGCACAGTACCCAAGACTCGATCCAGAAGTCACCCTGCGATTAGCTGTGAAAGCCGGAAATGACACCCTGGGCCCACGTGGGCTTGTCCCTACAAAGCTAGTATTTGGAATAGACCCAGTCTTCGCCGCCGTTAACGCAAAGCTTCCTCATCAACGCGATCGTATGGCCGCTCTTGATCTTGCGCGTCGAGAGATGGCAAAAATTGCCGCAGAGCTACGCATTCAGCAAGCCCTCCGGTCCCAACTGCCTCCTGCGACGCGCTATAACATCAACCCCGGCGACGATGTGTTGGTGTACAGAGAGGAAGAAAAGGCTTGGATAGGTCCCTATCAGGTGAGGAAGATCATGGGGAAAGAGGTGTTTGTGGATTGGAACGGAAAGGAGAAGCACTACAACCTATCACAAGTCATTCCAGCACCCTCTGCACAGGGCGATCGTGAATTACAGCGCCTACTATCCGGGATGGAACAGTTTCGATCCAACCCTCCACCTGGCGTCATGCTTACTGAGATTCTTCATCCCGCTGATCCTCGAGGACGCTCCGGTATCTTCGAGGAAGCTAAGGCCAAGGAACTCGCTGGCCTCGCCGGACGCGGCGTCTACAAGATCGTCAGTAAGGAGGAGGTACCTGCGGATGCTAACATACTTGGGGGGCGTTTTGTGCTCGCTATCAAGAACGCCAACACTGATAAGCAACTTTTCAAGGCCCGCTTCGTGGTCCAAGGGCACACCGATACAGAGAAACATCTCCTCGTGCATAACAGCACCAACCTTCGTCAAAGCTCGATTCGTCTACTCATTGCCATTGCTGCGGTGTTTGGATTCAGATTGTGGTCGCAAGACGTGTCGCAAGCTTACCTACAGAGTGCCGACAAGCTCATGAGAGACGTCTACGTTAAACCATCTAAAGAATTTAATCTCGAACCAGGACATTTGTTACAGTTGCTCAAGCCTCTTTACGGCTTATCGGACTCCGGGGATTATTGGCACGTCACATTTTCTAAACACTTACGTGAAGAACTCATGATGACACAGACAACTGGCGATCTATCCCTTTTTTTCAAGGTTGCGCATGGGAAACTGAGGGGATTAACTGGAGCTTATGTAGACGACACTATTGGTGGGGGTGATTTGGAGTTCGAGTGCGAGTCGATGATCACTGGGCAACGCTTTCAATCCAAACCGAGGGAGTATGACCAGTTTCAGTTCGCTGGTATCCAAATCGAGAAGCTAGAAGGTGATGACAGCGGATATCTCATGCACCAAGAGCGATTTGCGAGAAAGATTACGCTGCTTGATTCAGCCTGCACCTTCCCGCAATTTCGCTCAAAGAGACAGGAGTTGGCCTGGCTTATTCACACAAGACCTGATCTTGCGGGTGCAGTAAATCTAGCTGCACAGGTTACTGAGTCTCATTTTAAAAAGAAAAATGTCAAAGCTGTGAACGACATTGTTGCGCGAGCACAGAAGAATGCGAAACGCGGAATTCGACAACATCGTCTCGACCAAGACACGCTTTCCCTGCGCGTGTTCACTGATTCATCTTTTTCCAATACGCCCAGTCTTCGATCGCAGCTCGGCTTCGTTGTGCTTCTCTGTGATGCGTCCCGCCGGTGTAATATACTACATTTCGCATCATACAAAAGCAAGAGGATTAGTCGTTCAGTCATGGGAGCGGAGGTGTTAGCCTTCGCTGATGGGTTTGATTACGCTTACCTGTTGCGACACGATCTCACTCGCATCCTGAAGACCAACCTTCCCCTCGCTATGCTGACCGATTCTGACAGCCTATTCAAGACCATTATTAGATCAACCACCACGACCGAGAAGCGGCTGATGATAGATGTGAAGGCCGCCAGGGAGGCGTACCACAAGCAGGAAATAAGCGACGTCGGCTGGATTCGATCCGAGCACAATCCTGCTGATGGTGTGACCAAGTCCGCACCGTGCCCTGTCCTGGAACAGCTGTTGGATACTGGGCGCATCGACGTTCCTGTGCAACAATGGGTCGTACGCTCTCCGCTCAAGCCGCAGAAAGTTCAGAGGTGACTACCACTTTCGCCTTTAGAATCCCCCGAGTGTCGAGATACGGGGGGCCACGCCCTGCGTGTGCTGTCATTAGAACAGCATTACAGAAGACCATGATAGATGATCATATCCTTGATCCAGTTGATCCAATCTGCCCAGACAATTACACGGAAGACGAAAGGTTGTAGCTTTAATTAATTGTAGGGTATTGCAAAGTGCAATTCGAAGACAGACATTGTCAGCAGATGTACGGCGAATGAATAAGCTGTCTCTTCTTCTTAAGGTGCGAGTGCGAGCGACCATGTCGCGAAAGAGATCGAGGCTAGAACGAAATCAATAAACAAGGTTGTGCACCAACTTCTGACGACTCCCTCCAAGGCGGGTAGTCGTACCGTCGTTCTCTCAGAGGACTCAAGTTCTTGCGAACAGTCCAGGCTCTTGCGCGCCTGGTTCCCGAGTCAACGTTTTCACACTATAACGGAGTTTTTCGACAGTGATGGAAAAGCAACCATGGCCAAAGTACCTTACCGCCAGCTAGTCGGCTCGCTATTACATTTGGCAAATACGACAAGACCAGACATTGCATTTGCCGCTGGTCTTCTATCCAGGCATTTGGAAAGTCCAGAGCTTTGTCATTGGAATGCTGCCAAACACGTCTTACGGTACCTGAAGGGTACTGCAACTCTTGGCATTCAGTACAACAGAGACACCAGCAGCTCAAATACTATTGACTTTCATGGTTATTCGGACCCCGACTGTGAAGGAGATCAAAACACTCGTAAGTCCACAAGTGGTTTCGTGTTCATCTTGGCAGGGGGAGCCATCAGTTGGCGCAGCAAGAAACAGACAGTCACCGCACAGTCTACGGTGGAAGCAGAATACATCACTTTCTCTTATGCCATTCGAGAGCTCCTTTGGTTTCGGAAAATGATAGAGGATGTTTATGGGAAACGTCTACAGAAGACCATTCTATACGGAGATCATCAAGGGGCTTTGAGTCTGGCAAGTAACGAAATACAGAACGAGAGAACCAAGCACATCGATGTGAAGTACCATTTTAATAAGGACTACATCGCGGACCATACCGTCATACTACAATATGTTTCTACTGAAAAGATGACTGCCGACGTGATGACTAAGGCACTTGGATCGGTGAAACACCGTAGATGCGTGGAAGAATTGGGCATGAAGGCTGCCGAGGAAAGAGACTAGCAGAAGAGGGGGAGTGTTACGAGTCTACGCTTCCGTCAAGTCTTTGTAGGTACTGTAGGCAACCTCAACCCAGACAGTACAGTATTGTTAGCATAGAATGTGGTACTATCGAATGGAGGTACTACAGAATAGAGGTACTACCGAATAGAGATACTACAGGGTCACAGTCCGCTGTCTGGTTGCATGGCAAGCAGACAGTGGACCACCTCTCTGGCTGGAATAATTAGTGCATTTTCCGCTGTTTTTGTCAGCACTGCCAGTAGCATTTAAGCTCCAGCAGCACGGCCGCACTTGGTAGAAGTCGGAAAGTGCTCTGGTGAAACTACGAGTAAACATCAACAAAAGGTGAAGATATACTGGGTGATCTCTAAGACTAGGGAACTAGCTTGTGCGTTTGGTAGGTTTTGAGAAGCTAATGGTACTATATTTATGTTGAGTAAAAGGACTAAGTCCGGGTGAGAAAGAACACCCACGACAAAAAGACCTATCAGCTTACCCGTTCGCGCACGAAGACAGACTTCTTCACCACCACTTGCCCATAACCTACGATTTCTTCTTTGAAAACAGTTTAAGAATAGACCTGTCTCGTCCATGTTAAAGACAAAATCATCGTTGAAGTCAAAAACTTTTGTCGTAGATGTGAGATGTCTGATGTCACATGTTCGAGAGAAACATTAGAGGCGCTCATTCCCTCAAAATGAAGTCGGACTGAACGAAGTGCGTGTCTCGGCATAAATGCATTGACTCACCTTGGCGGTGCTGAGAATTTTTGCAGGCGACTGTGCTGATCTTCCGTTAAGTCTTTCAGGAGCAATTGGTGCCGTATTTGTAGAGCACGTTGTGGCAACGTGGAGCCACAGATCGACAGTTTCGCTGCTCGGCCAATATGAACGACATGTAGAACTTTTCAGTAATTGGTGAGCCTACGCCTGCGGAACGTGAGCACGAGTTCTGCAAGAATTTTGCATACACGTGTAGGGCAGAATTGACCAATATTTCAACCACGAAATCTGCAACCGGCCTTAAGCCGGTTAGACTCGTGAATAAAGATATGAGTATTAATCCATTAGCTCCCTTCCAGTCGCCAACTCCTACTAACACCAAAACATGAAGCAGAAGGATTTCGTCCTAGACCCCTGTGCAGATCGTGCTACACAATCGGCCGGCGCTTTGGCCGCGATAACAAAGTGCTACAGCGGCCGTCACACTATGCAGACAGCTTTGGAAAGCAGCCACGCGCTTGTAACAGCAGGTGCGATCTTTTCTGTCACACGTTATGAAGTGCAGCTGGTTCTTGACAGAAGTGCGCGCATTGCAGCGACGCAGTTTACCTTCAACTTCAACCGCTTTAGAGATGCGGAGGCGTTTGGGCAATTTAGATTCTGCGGTGAAGACATAACGAGACTTGTCCCCATATTAAGCTGGCCAGTGGGGCAATCGCATACTTCTAGTAGTAGGTACGCAGTCAGGCCAATACTGGCCACATGCAGCTTACTTCGCCGTATGGCTGTGCCGGAGAGGTGGGAAGATCTTTGTACAATGTTTGGAAAGCATCCATCGCAGGTGTCCAAGATCTTCTAGGAGGCGATGGACAACTTTTTCAAAACAGGAGGAAGCCTACTACTAGATCCTATCCCTTTATAATATATGTATACAAGAGCAGAGAGCTTCAGTAAAGCCGTGCATGACAAGGGCGGTGTTCATACTCGCAGTGTCGGCTTCATAGATGGTACGGTTGTCGGTGTTGCCCCCCCGAGGGTACATACAGCAGCTTGTTGTATATAATGGGCACAAGCGCAAATAATGAACTCAAGTAACAAGCAATTAATACACCCGACGGTATGATTTTGCACGCCCACGGACCTGTAGAAGGAAGGAGGCACGACTGATGTCTGTACAACTGTAGCGGAGTAGAGTCCAACCTGAAGCAGATTCTATTCATAAATGGTGTACAGTACGTCATATATGGGGACTCCGGCTACAACACGAGGTCTTTTATGGATGTTCCGGTTCAAGACAGCGCATTGAATGCGCACCGGCGCGCGTTTAATGAGAATAGGTCAAATGTCCGGGTCCCATCGTATCATTCATGGCCTTGTTGGCTAAGGCTAGTACAGTGTCTCGGTGGTTCCCGGGATGTTCTCTCATGACATTCAAAAACATTCTTCTCAGTGGATCGTGATATCTCTCTCCGATTCCCATTGAGTTGGAACTTTCTACTGGCGCGATTTCTATCGCAACTCCCGCATTGGCGAGGAATTTATTCCACTTTCTTGACGTGAACACAGATCCAGAATCGGCTTTGACCAGTTCTGGAAAACCGAAATACGTAGTGACCCAGCAGTTAAGAAATGTTTCCCATACATCCTCTGTTGACTCTCCATTCAAGAAACGAGCTGCTGAGTAGTGGGTGTCAGCGTCTACCACGTGCAATATTGGTCTCCGTAGGATCCACATGATATCTATGATTGCCATGCAGTTGATGACAATGACGGCGGGAATGGTGGCAGAGAATTTAATCGGCCTTGGAGAATGGATTTGGCAAATTTGGCATTGTCTGGTAATTTCTTGAATCATGTTCCATGTTTCCTTTGATGCATCTTGAGGTCTTGCTCGCTTAATGAGGTTGAAGAGTTTGTCACTTGCGGTGTGATAGAACCCTTTGTGCATGCGTTTGGGCTCTCTGGCTGTGAAGAGTACCTCACTCTCCCACTCGTAGTACATGTGTCCGTGTTTCCTCTCGAGCGATACACCCCATCCAATTTTGTCGTGCACGAGCAGTTTTTGTACGTTGTTGACACACAGCCCGTAGTTGTCGAGGGCATCGAGTCCAACAAGCAGAGGTATGTTTGGTGCCACAACGTCGACTCGGATCTGTACGTAAGAGTCTGCAGGGATAGGGATTCGGACGTTGATAGTGCCGAGGCTTTTTTGCCTGGATCCGCCCAACTTGAATCCTTTCGCAGACTTTTGCATCTTGAAGGGGAAACCAGCAAATAATGCGTACGCCTTAGCTGGGGATAGTCCACAGACTGAGGTACATGCTCCTGTGTCCAGGCATGCTCCTTCAAATGGAGGAGAAGTGAGGGTCGATGTGACATGGATGGCCAAGACCGGAGTGCTGTGAGGGATCTGGGTGGGGTCGTTCTACTCCATGCCAGCGTGAATGGGCGCTCTTTCAGGACGATTGCACAAAATGTTACCATTTTCCTTCTCCGAATGGTTCACTAAATGAATTTGAAATTGTTCAGCGTACCCGTCGTCCAACTGTACATCCGACCCTTCGTCCATTGTCAGGGGGTGGTCGGCGATTATTTCTTCGTCTGCAAGCCCGATTCCTTCCTCATTGCCCTATGGCCCGTCGGTTAGTTGGTCGCTAATGAATTCGTCCCAGCTTTCTCCGTACTGGCTCTCCAGTTCACTCGTGATTTCAATCGCTTCCGCAACGGTCGCTACAGCGTTGATTGCGCTTACAGCTCGTTTTTCGTCCTCTTTGAACCCTGTCCTCCTTTTGCGTTTTAGACAGACAATCCTTTGAAGGCCTGGGTTACCACAGCCAAAGCAAGGTCCTTTCGTTCTTTTTCAGGTATATGCTCGGTGCTTAGGGTTGGTGCGATCGCGTCCATAGACATCTCCAAACCAAACTGTATTACGCAGAGACTTGTCCCTGCCCTTGAGCGATACAAACCTTTTCCCTCCTGCATCTCCCTTTCTCTGTCCTCTTCTATTGCTTGCGATTTCAGTGTGGCATACATCTGCCAGAAGTCAAGTTCATGGGCCCTCGCCGTTGTGGCTCGAGTCCATCTGAAAGATCGAACGGCCTTTTTCAGTCGTCTATTTTGGTTCGCCTCCGTCTGGCGACTCTTTGGTACCAAGTTTACGTGCTTGATGATTTCATCTCTTATTGCCTTTAGGCCGCCTGCAAAGCTTTCTGTAGATTTGACTTTTTCGTACATGGAAAGGGACTCAAGATATTCCAAAGTTGCCTCCTGTGCTTCTTGACCATGGAACGTGTCAATAATGAATCGGTTCACCTCTTGGCACCTCTTAAAAGCTTTGGAGTTTTCCTGCACAATTCGCTGGTAGTACGTGCGTGCTTCCCCGGTCAGTATATTCTCTATGTTGCGCAATGCGGCATGTTCAGGCACTCCGCATTGCTCTGCGCAGTTTATGCATGTTGAATATATGTCTTCCCAGTTTTCCCCATCATTTCCCCCGAATTTGTCAGCACGATCCTTAAATCTGGTAGCCAACTTGCTCAGAACATTAACTGCATGAGGGGAGAACCCTTCATGATATTCGGAACTGCACGCAGTGCTGTGTCATGTCTCTGCATTCTACCCTGGTAGGGTGCTGTTTGGTGCACTCTTGGAGTTGTACTTTCTACTGCACCTTGTGTGTGCGGAAAGATTTGCTCACCTATCTGCGGCCTTGTCTCGTCTTCAGGCAACTCCCTTGCTGATGTTCGCATTAATTGTTTGCGAGTTTTCACGACCTCTCGTTGTCGGGGAGAGAGAAAAAGATGAGGTAGAGTTTGATCGGCTGCGGGAAATGTCTGTCCTCTGTTGCGTTATCGTTGGGATATTGGATTCGACAACTTCACGAGCAAGGTCGTTCGCGTCTTGCACACACTAGGGGTCCATACTGGTGGTACTGTAGGCAACCTCAACCCAGACAGGACAGTATTGTCAGCATGGGATGTGGTACTACGGAATAGAGGTACTACAGAGTGTGGTACTACGTAATAGAGGTACTACATAATAGAGGTACTACAGGATCACAGTCGACTGTCTGGTTGCATGGCAAGCAGACAGTGGACCACCTCTCTAGCTGAGATAATTAGTGCACTCTCCTCCTCGGGTTTTGTCCGCACTGCGAGTAGCACTTAAGCTCCAGCAGCACGGCCGCACTTGGTAGAAGTGGTGACGTGCTCTGGGTTAACAACAAGTAAAAGCACATATAAGGAACCGGACACGGTGTAACTACAATAGGTTATGGTC